ATCGATCAACTCCTCCGATCAGCAAAGTTATCCATGTCATCACCATCTCCAACAAAGTTATTATTATTATTCCCTTCACCCTCACCAAAACCAAAGTCCTTGTTGTTCATGTCCAAGCCATCTCCAACCCCAGCCGAGCCGCCAAGGAAGTCATTCCCGCCAAAATTCTGTCGATCAGAACCTCCATAACTATCGACACCCGAGTTATAATTCGATCCACCGGAATTATAATTCCCACCATAACCACCACCACCACCACCGGAATTATAATTCCCGCCATCATTGTCGTAACCTCCACCACCATAGCCTCGGTTATAGCCACCGCCACCGCCACCTCCATAGCCACCACCGCCGCCGCCATAGCCACCGCCGCCGCCATAGCCACGCGCCCTGTCGTTAGCGTAATCCACTCTTATCTGACGGCCGTGAAGTTCCTAAATAAAAAGTGATAATTTTTTTTAATGGCTGATCGGACCAAATTTTTGGTAGAAATAGAAAAATAAATTTAAGCAAGCAAAAATAGGCACCTGTTGATCCATAGCCTGAATGGCTGCAGATGCCTCCTCAGGAGAAGTAAATGTAACAAAACCAAATCCTCTTGACCTACCAGATTCACGATCCACAATAACCCTTGCTGCAAGATAAACCAATCAGTACAAAGATCAGAGCTAATGTCCAACCTCCAGATACAAATTAACATATACTATAAACATATAACTTGATTTAACTCCAACAACAATCACATTAGTGTCCTGCCATAGCTACAGGTACAACATAGAGCTTTCTTTAACAATACTTCACAAAGCAGCCTATCAAGATTTTGATTATAGTGAAAATTCATAAATAAAACAAAGAGATAAAGAATGTCACAATTTGTGTACCTTCCGTAACATCACCATGCCTGCTGAAAGCCTCTCTGAGACTCGAGTCATCCGTGGAATACGAAATTCCTATAAAAGAAAACCAGAAAAATAATTGCACATAATACAAATAACTAGAAAATAAAAGTAGACTCCTTCAGACTTCAATACTACAATATGAAATAGTTATTTCACCTCCAACAAAGACTTTTGAAGACGACATCCACCTCACCGCTTGAAATATGGAGGGTTTGGATATAGAAATATCCAAGCTGCCCATGTGATTGTTCACGCTCCTTCCTAAAATACTCCCAACTTTTCTCAAGAAAGCCATTGGGGATTATTAACCTGAAACGGGAGAACGCACTCCGTATAACCATAAAACGGCAGAAAAATCTACACCAAAATGCTTCAGATTCAAGAGTTCGGCTCCACCCGAATGTAATATAAGAACACAGCTTGGCTTAAAAACAAATTCTTTACACAAATCCTTCAGATACTAAACACTCCCAAGTTTGGGTATTACCCGAACAGCAAAAGCACCCAGTAATAAATTAGTGAATCCAAATGAACAGTAATCGTGAAGAGATGGGCTATCACCGAACTATAACTATCTAAAACCTTTCAGCAGTTCGTTATAGCACCCAAAACAACAAAAATAAGCAAATATTCTAGACATGAAAAGGAAAAACCCATACAAGATTCGAATTGTCTGCGAAAACAAGAAAACCAACGTTAATTGGAGATGAAATACGCAGGTATATGCACACGATCGTTGATGCAAGAGAGGGAAAATAACTGAAAGGGGAAAACTTTACCTTAGATGATGATCTAATGAGACTGTTGGTGAGCTCTGTGAACAGAAATGGGGGACTGTGGGGAGTGTAAAACCCTAGAGAGTCGACGAGGGTTTGTCTGTCTAGCTGAGAGAACAGAACACAGATTCTTATAGTGGAAGAGTTGAATAAATGTCAGCCGTTAGATTCAGGATTGTGAGTTTTCAACCGTGGATGAGAGTGACGGCAGACCGGGCATCTTTGGCAAACGTAGAAAGTTTAATAATTATTTATTTTTTATTTTTTATTTTTTTGGAACACAAAATGTCAAATCTTATCTTAATTAATAAAAGTGGTGCATATTGTTATAATGTTATTTTTTTTAGTTCAGTTCGTTCATTTATCTTAAACAAGCTACAACAATTTACTAAATGAACTAAGTCAAACTTGTTTTGAAACATTTCATTTCCCCAAATTTTTTAGGTTATAAATAAAGCAAGTTTTCGAACGAATATTCTGTATTAGTGATGACTAGTTTAATTTTTTTTTTTTTTTGAATCAGTCGATCCGAATACAGCTTTCATGAAAGCAATCGAGCATAAGCTCAAATATAAGATACTCATTCCAATAAAACTCACAAATAGAAGTGGCCAAAACTGATAGAAAGTGGATTTAACTTTATTCGAAATAAATCAATATTAATTTCAAGAGCTTTCATATTAAACTAGTACATAACTCGTGCGATGCACGAGACAGAAATATTAAATCTATATATATATTAAATCCCTCCAAAACTACATTTAATACATTGTAATAAATTTTATCAATTTCTATGCATGATTTATCAACAAAAAATATTTATGTCATTTAAACATTTAATTTATATCATAATTGTATTGGAATTTGTACTCCAATTTTTCTTGACTAAATAAATGATTTAACTACATCTATTACCATGAAATAAATTTTGTTAATTTTTATGTATT